AGACATAAACTCAAGATGGCTACATTTCTTTCATCCTATATTCTTTTCTTTCTTCCCTTGTTTTATGCACTGCAAGTTTCTTCATTAATAAATCGATGGAACCTCAAACATTGATTACACTTATTATTCATATCCTCAAATGATATCATATTTTGAGGGCTGCGCAAGTACGAGTACAACTTGTACCACGCGGTTCACAGCTGGGTGTGGGGTGTGGGTGTGGGTTGGGTGTGAGGTTAGTCAACTTCTCTTCACTCACACCCACACCCAACCCACACCCACACACACGCCACACCCACGCCCACCTCACACCCACATCCTCAAGAAACCAACGGTACAATAATTTTGAAATTCACCCATATACTTTGCAGTACAAAGGATCATATAATTGGTACTAAAGTCCTACGGTAATTCAGAAAGAAAACGATTATTGCATTATTGTGGTAAAGAGGCTTGTTTGATATGTTTGCTTTACTTTACCTTCTGTTTTGATTGTCGGTACCATTGCTGCTGGCACTGTTACTTTGTAATATTTCAAAGTTGAAATCGCAGGAGTTATTAATTGAACATCACTCATATATTGAACAACATTTCTGTGCATTATACTTTCATCTTTTTTTACTTGTTTTTACTGTTCTGATGGTATAAGTCGTAGAAAATAAATAAACAACCTCTAGAATTGTCAAACTATTGTGCTTCTTTAGATACAGATTAGTATTTAAGCATAGTGTAGTTTATAGAATGACCTGTTTAATAAGAAATATGATTGGACAAGAAAGTAATCATGTCAATTTAGATATTCTATCCCAAACCTGAGACAAAAAAACGTGTTCTGGTATGATAAATTGTATTGTATAGAAACCAATATACGGCAACTGAATTATTAGCTAATCCGTTCTAATTTAATTGAATGTTGTTGACGTGATATAAGTGCCCAATGTCAGCAGAATACATATAATACTTCAGCAACATATAACTGATAAAAACATCTATTTTTCTAAATAAACTTTATTTTAGTTTAAGATTCTAATAATAAAGCAAATAAAAAGATAGAATTATGATAAAATAATATTTTAGTTTTATCTTTTCGTCTTTCTTTTTGTGAGTAAAATATTGATTTAAAATAAAAAAAAAAAGTGGTTCGGTTTTATGATAGTTTAGCAGTATATGCTTCGTACGCAACACCACACATCTTGTAAGCATCTTTAATTGTACGTATATAACCCTTTTCACCCTACCCTGCTCCATGAGAGTTCTTTATTATCCAAAAAGGTAATTTAAGTCCTTCATCGTAACCATAACCTATAATAGCCATAGCATGACCCATTGTGAACAATTGACTTTCACAGGTTCTCCTTTTAAATACACCTTTTTTTATAAAACATAAAACCTAGGAAATTTGAGTTTATTCCAAGATATATTGGTCCATTATTAGTAACTGCTTCAGCTAGTTTTTCTTCATCGTCTACAGGAATTGTTTCAAGTTGAACTTCACCTAGATCAATTTCGTTAATACCATTTATTTGACATGATTCTTCGGTGTAATTATAAGGATAAGAAGCATCTGTAGCTATTTTATTACCTTTTTTTTTTAATATAATTCATAATATTGTCAATTCGGCCACCATTACAACCATTCTCTTTTGAACAATTAACTATTTGTTGTGGACTAAATTCAATAACTTTGTCAGATTTTGTTTTTATAGCATAGAGTGATTCTAGAACTGCAGTGGCAGCAAATACATAACAAGAGGCACAATCACCTTGATTTTTAACAGAACTTACAACATTTTTTGTTCGCCAATCAACTGTATTATTTGGTTTAGTATTAGCACTATTTCTATTAAAATATTTGTAAAACCAGTCATCCCCGAATCGTTTATCTTGATATCGATGTTTTCGTAAATTTTGTCTTAATCTTTTTGCTTCATAATGGCGTTGATGAAGCTTTGCTGAACTAATTTGTAATGCATCTTCATCTAGTTCATCATCCATTGTACGTCGTTGTAAATGAGATGGAACCTTGGCACCAGTTTTGTATGTTCTGAATTCTGCTAATGTCCAATCAGAAAATCGATTCAATGTTAATTGATATGTATTTGATTCTTGAAAATTTGATAATATTACATATTTTAGATGTTTGATAAATAGTCTAAGACGTGATTTTTCTTCTCCTACAATCGGAAGAAAACAATTAGGGTTGTTCTTTGTAAAAATTAATCAGTGTTTTCTTTATAAACTAACCATCTGATGGATATAAACAATGATATTTTGCTTTAAAAAATGACCAAATTTGACGGATAACTGAGTTATTAAGCTTCACTCTATGACCAAGAAGTTTAACTTTACCATCATGTACAAAGCTATCAACATAGTCTTGAAGAGATGTACGAGCAAGAAGTTGATCAGTAGATGTACAGAAACCAATAAGAAGGACAAGAGTGAATAATATTACATATAACTTCATAGTTGGACTTTATGTAAAACCAGCGAAATGAAATACAACACTATATATTCTCCCCTTTATATATATATATGCATATGTATAGATATTCAAGGTATACTGATTTTTTTTCGTTTCATTGGATATTTAGAAGAATTAATCATCCGGTCTTTCACTTGTCATGTACACAATTAATCAAGCACAGAAAGCAAAT